GCTTTTTGAGTAAAGGTTTAACTACAGCCAGCTTGAGAGGCTAGCAGAGGCTAACAGCAGAGTTACTGATAGGAAAGTTCAGCATATCCTCAACAGCTCACCTCAGTAAGGCGTTCATCAAAGTTTTACAGCCTCCTCCACAGTAAATAAAGATGCTTCTCACCCGGCTTTGACAGCTGAGGTAAACAGCAGTCTGTTCCTTTAATACTCAGACGCTGCAGTTCCTCTGATGTCCAGCAGAGGTTATGAAATAAATCTGTAATATTCAAACTTAAGTCAGAAGATGAAATATCTTTGTTTATCAGAATTAAGTACTTCTTAAACTCAGCCTGCGACTGAAAGTGTTAGAAACAGCCAAATATCAGACATGTTCATTGAAGACTAACATTGAAAGTGTGCGTGTGTTCGCAGAGATCTCGTGGTCTCCAGGTTCAGGAAAAGAGCTCGGCGAGGTCAAACTGTCCATCTCCTACAAGAATGAAAAACTCTTCATCATGGTGATACACATCCGAGGCCTGGTCAGTGTGTCGTGTTATTATTAGATTCATTTATAGCTTTATTTCTATTTGTTTTTATTACGTTTTTGTATATATTTCTTTATTATTATGATTACTCTAGTTTCTGTTGTGTATATACTTTTTTTTAAATTATGTATTCTTGGGGGAGCAGCGGCTCTACTCTGAGCCCCTCCCGGATGGCTGAAATCTCACCCTATCTCTAAGGGAGAGGCCAGCCACCCTTCGGAGGAAGCCCATTTCCGCCGCTTGTATTCGCGATCTCGTTCTTTCGGTCACTACCCACAGCTCGTGACCATAGGTGAGGGGAGGGGCGTAGATCGACCAGTAAAATGAGAGCTTCGCTTTTACACTCAGCTCCCTCTTCACCACAACAGACCGGTGCAGCGGCCGCACCACTCCGTCTGTCGATCTCCCGCTGCCTTCTCCCATCACTCGTGAACAAGACCCCGAGATACTTGAACTCCTCCACTTGGGGCAGGAACTCGTCCCCGACCCGGAGTGGGCACTCCACCCTTTTCCGGCTGAGAACCATGGCCTCAGATTTGGAGGTGCTGATCCTCATTCCCGCTGCTTCACACTCGGCTGCGAACTGCTCCAGTGCGAGCTGGAGGCTGTTACCTGATGAAGACTCCCCATACTCCCAAAGCCCAACCCACAGAATACTCAGATGGACATGGCCGTCTGAGTATTCACCTCCGGTGTCCACTTGCTGGTTTGGGGGTTACACCCATGAACGGCCGCCTCAGCAATGGAGGTGCTGACTATGGTCCAGTCGGTCTCAATGTCCCCAGGGTTCCTCAGAATAAACACTTTTTATTTATTTATGATCATTGTTAATATTTTAATAAATGTATTTATATAATTTTAAGGATTTTTTTTCATGTTTTTTAATTAATATTTTTATATTGATCAGTGGGTCTAAGTCCTGTCCTGGTATTTGGGGCTTCTGATTGTTTTTGTTTTTTCTCTGTGGGACTGACACTGATGCCTGTGGGTGTGTAGCAGCCCCTGCAGGATGGGACTGACCCCGACCCCTACGTGAAGCTCTATCTCCTCCCCGACCCTCAGAAGATGAGCAAGAGGAAAACGAAGGCGGCGCGACGCACGTGCAACCCGACCTACAATGAGATGGTACGATCCGCTCACAGCGTCTGGAAGTGCTGTGAGATACTGCTATCGATGTGCTAAGTAAATACTGGCCCAGCTGTGCAGATAGTAATGATAATGCAGCAGTGAGCTGCATGCTGGAGGATAGAAACAGTGTCGCTCTGATAGCAGTGTTGGTGTTAACCTGTCGGTATTTGGATTGTTCTGCATCTCTGGTGTAAAGAATCGCGGATGTCACTGTGGTTCAACTCTTAGATGTTGATATGACTAACTTTGCTGTTTCCATAGCAACATCACTTTTGCCTCCCTTTGTGTCCCCAGCTGGTGTACGAGCGGATCCCACGGGGGGACCTGGACCAGAGGGTGATCCACCTTCGGGTCCTGGGAGACGGCGCCTTCTGGGAGAACACGCTGCTGGGAGAGACCTTCATCCCCCTGAAGAGGCTGGTCCCAGGTCAGCACTGGGTGGGCTGGCACAAACTGGGCCCCCCTGGCTCAGACTTCGCCCACTGATGGACAGGAAACGGGAGGCAGCGGACTTAAAAGAAAGAAGAAGAAGAACTGCAGGCGTTCCTGCTGAGGGGGAACGGTGAAACAAAAAAAGGGAGATCCTTTCAAAGTAAAAGCCTGCTCTGCGGGTGTCGTGCCACGCTGTTAGTTTATAAGAGACTGAGTTTTACTTCAGTGAACGAGTTCCACTAACGAGCTCGCCCTGACCTTTGACCTGAGAGCGACTGAAGGAGTGGATTCCTTTTTTAACAGACCTACAGGAGCTCAGACGTGCTCGAGCTGTTTCTTCTTCTTCTCCTCGGACCGCAGCAGGAAGTTTAACTGTGAAAAAGGAAACGAGGACAGAGGCGCGGTGAAGAAGACGAAGCAGGTTGAAGAGCGTGGGCAGCGCCGCTGAGAAGACTTTAGGTTATTTTTTATAGCGGGTTTGATTTATTTTTAAAGTGCGACTGACTGCCGGCTGCTTGCGTGCCTATGTTTCATTCCTGGTTTCTGAACCATGTCATTTCCTGTTTTTAGCTCAATGACGGCGGGCGTTTTGTGATCAGCTGATTTTTGTGTTTGCGCTGTAAATGAATGCGAGGTTTTCACAATGACTGCTTCACACGTTTAAAGACGAGAGAAATCTGAAGAATTTCAAAATTCTGAAACACTGAAATAAAATTTTTATTGTTGGATTGTTTTTGATCATGTGACTCTGTGATGTCATCACGCTGCTCATTCAATCAGCTATCACTTCTCTCCCTAAGGGCACTTTCCCCTGATTGGCCAGCATGCGGAAGCCTGCTGAGGGGCAGCCTGTGAGCTGTTAGAGCCCCCTGCCTGTGGACATGTCATTCCACAGGCAGGGGGCGCTCTCGGGGCAAATTTCATCCTGTTTTTGATGGAAGAGTTCGACAGCTTCTACTGCAGTGAAGTCGCTGAGGACATCACAGCACCACGAGCCGCTTTACAGCACCCTGCATTTTGATTTGGGGTGTGAAGCCAGCTCCTGCTTCTGCTGCTAACGTGTGCTGGAGGTTTGGAAACAGGCGCCGTCAAGGGAGGACGTCCTGTCCTGAACTCTAACCGACCAAACAGCAGGCAGCAGTAGCGTGCTGGTGTTTCGTGGGTAAAATCAGGTCCGCACGAACAGTTCAAGTGTTTGTATTTGTTCTGCATCATGTGACTGAGGTCCTGACCAATCAGATGAGGTTGCTGTGGGTGAAGAAGCATGATGACGCGCAGAAGCAGGCTTTGTTTGGATGCAGCTTCACTGATGACGACCTGTACAGACGAATGATTCTGAACCTTTTCTATTGTTTGCACTACACAATAAACTTGAAATGAAAACAGCTGAAGGTGGTCTGTCCTCCTCTTCCTCCCTCCTCCTAGGGTCTACACCTGCCTCGTTTCCTGTGTCCGTGCTGCGAGGGATAAAGGTCGGCCTGGTTTTAGAAGCTTGGCTTGGTCTATCAGATGTCTGGGGCTAAAGAGGGTGGAGCTCAGGTGAGCACAGTGTGGTCTGTAACAGCAGGTCTGCAGTCGAGGCTGAGATTTCATTAAAATCCAAGAATGCCAGAAATCTCTTTAAAATGTAGAATAGAAAACAATAGAGTCCAGGTGAACCACTCAGGTCTGCTGATTGGCTGTCGGCTCTCGGGCAGGTACTCCTGCAGTGGCAGCACAGAAAACACCCCACGGACGTCTTTGTTACTACAGTTTTTAATAATATTTTATATTTGCGGGTGGCTGTAGCTCAGGAGGTAGAGCAGGTCACCTGCTGATCGCAAGGTTGGAGGTTCGATCCCTGGCTCCTCCAGTCTGCATGTCAAGTATCCTTGGGCAAGATACTAACCCCAAGCTGCTCTCCGATGCGTCCATCGGAGTGTGAATGTGTGTGGATGTAGTTAGAAAGCACTACGTATAGAGAAAGTGCTTGTGAGAATGGGTGTGACTGGGTTTATTTTTACAAGTAATGTGTGGATCAGATATCAAGCATCTCAATCCCAATGTTGATATTGGTATCAGATCGATACTAGTGTGACTGGACCGATACTGGGTCTATCCTGTGAACTGTTAAATAATTTCTAACAAATAAATATCCCAGAAACCTCTCTGAACCTTTCTGTGGTGCCAGGTTTATTCATAGCCACATTTAAACTACGGAGCTGAGCCGACCGCTGTAGACACGGGCACATTTACAAGTAGCTCTTCAAAATAAAAGCTGAAATGTGTGAGAAGGCAGGACACACTGGTCTCCCCTACATCAGCTGCCTTTAAAGGGTGTCTGTGTCAGCAGTACTGGTCCTGTATTTACTTGGTATCAGAACACTAAACTTTTTTACTGCAGGCTGGCTCGTTTTGGTTCACTTTTTATCTGTTTCTGTAATTATTGTGAAACTGCAGATTTGACAGATCCAGTTGTAGGCACAGTTTGGATGTCTTTGGTTTTTACATTAATCCTGATCTGTTTCCTGTGACGCTGACGGGACAGCAGGACCTTTGACCCTTGCCGCGTCCTCACACAAAAGCAGGTGATCCTCCACAGCATCATCCAGCACCTAGCTTACACACACACACACACCTGCATACAGTATTTATGGAGTTTAGTTTACTGTCAGATTTTGATCAATGATTTCTGATCCTGGACTTGACACCTGATCCCAGTGTCAGCCTTTTGGTATCGATCTGATATCAAGTAAATGCAGAGCCAGTGCGATACCAATACTGATACTTTCAGCTTATGTGAGAGAGCCGTGTGTCTCTTTGTCCCCGCAGCCACATGTCCCTGAGCCTGGTTCTGCTGGAGGTTTTCTGCTTGGAAAAATCACATTTTTCCTTCCTACTGTCGCCAAGTCGTAGGCTCGTAGGCGTTCGTCTGATTATTGTAGGGTTTTTATCTTACAATATAAAGTGCCTTTGGTTGACTGCTGTGATTTAACGTTATATGAATAAAACTGAATAGAATGGGGAGCAGTGTGTCCTGATTCATGAGATGAACCATCATCTATCGGCAAATTCTGAACACATGAATGAAAGGCTTTATTGGCCACATGCAGGTTGCATAGTGATATGAGATCTTCTGTTGTTGCCTGTTAAGAGTCACGCTGCACAGTCTGAAGATGATCTAAAGCTAATCGGTTAAGACACGTAAAAAGACGGGAAGAAATAGAAGCATGCATAATCATCTCCAATTCAGCCTTTTCACCATTAGTCTGAGTTTTGAAATGTTCCTTAGATGATGACTGACTTTTACTTTCCACAGTTGGCACAATAAAACACAGCTTTCATCTTTTATTTTGGAGAGCTGAATGTGAACGTGCCTGTCTAATGTGGCTGTAAATAAAACAGGCACCACAGAAAGGTTCAGACATGTTTCACAGCATGTTTGCCGCATTTGTTCATTTAAAACACTCAGTGCGCTACATACTGAACTCGGGGGATAGAAACAAAGTGTCGATTTGATACCAATATGGGCATCGGTTACTATGGGCTACTATCCATACTGGGTCCTTTCACCATCTCCAGTGTCTGAGCCGCTTCTATAAATTGACCGTGGGAGCTTCACGCTGATAAACACGTGGCACACTCGAGCCCAAGTTTCGTTTATGTAACGGAGACGCAGGAGCGAACAGCACCTCCTCCTGCACTCCCTGCCCGCGGCCTCCCGGAAATAGAGATTCGCGTCATAGGCGACGGTCCCCGGGCTGTCTGATGAAATCTCTCAGCGGACGGACGGACGGAGCGAAGCGGCCGTGGAAACTGCTCTGTATTCGGAGACCGCACCAGTATTAACGCCAAGAGGAGTCCGGAGAGCACCGCAGACTGATTATAACCCGGTGAAGTGCTGCTTTGGTTCGAGTATTTGAATCCGTCTCCGCCTCCGGGGAACTAACCGTCAGGCTAACTAGCTGCTAGCGCTGAGCTAACGTGCTAAGCTAACTGGAGCCCCGCCGCAGACAGAATGGCCCGTTGCTGGTCTCCACACCCGGTACTCTTCGTGTCTCAGCACTTGGGTTTCTCCACCTCCGTCCGCACAGAGTTCTCCACAAGAAAGAAGCACCACTGTCAGCAGAGCACCACGGCCCGCGCCGGGCTCTCGGCCCTCGGATCCTCCCGCAGCTGTAGCCGGTGTGTGTGGTGTGCGGAGTAGGCGCGATGAGCTGTTGGATTAGCAGCTAACGTGCTAACAGCCTGTTCGTATTGAAGTTGTTCGCACATTAAACTGAGGACATGTTCAGAAATATGAGCGAAGAAGGACGTTTAATGGGCGGGAGGCGCCCCCCCTCATCTTCCTCCTCCATGCCCGGACTGGACAGCCAGGAAAGTTCGTGGATCGGCCTGCTGTCCAGGCCCGCGATGGCACTGGTGGAGAAAATCCGGAACCGAACTCTGAAAAGCAGCTTGGTTACCGAGGAGAGCGAATTTCTTAGCCCGCTGGAGGACGTGCAGCTCGGGCCTCCTCACCTGTCCTACCTGCAGTGTGAGCCCCGAGGCGTGGGGGCTCTGCCATGGCTCTCCGCGGACTCGCTACGGGAAATCGGGCTCCAGAATGGGGCAGAGGTGAACCTGAGCCTCTGCCAGCAGACCCAATTCAGATACCTGTCTTCGTTCCGGGCTGTTCTGGGCCACATGCTACTCAGTTCTCAGGAAGTAAAACCCCCGGGAGGGCAGAGCTGGTCCAGCAGGCCATGGTGGGACAGCTTCTGGGGGGGCAAGGAGTGCTCGGAGAGGGAGCAGCTGTCCCGCGGGATGCTGGGAGAAAATGCTGGAGCCAGCGACCACAAAGAGCAGCTGGTGAACAATGGAAGCCCCCCCACAGTCCAGAACGCTGTGGCAGACCGCCAGCTCAGCATCAGAGATCCACAGAACTGCTCAGGAGCCACCATCGCCGCAGCCTTACCTGTGACCCCCGAGCAGGACCATGGGTACTCCAGCCTGGAGGAGGAGCACCTGTCCGGCGTGACGTCCGCCAGAGCAGAGCCGTCGCCACCACAGGAGACTGAGGGGATGGAGGAGGTGGTGCTCGCCGTCCCTCAGTGCCAGAACAAAACTATCAACTTCATCATGGGTGGCCCTTGCAGCGAGGATGAGGACAGCCAATCAGAGGAGTCATCCTCTGATGATGATGATGATGATGATGATGATGATGGCTTTGACAGCGAGGGCTCCTCTGAGATGTCTGATGACACTAATGATGATGATGAGGATGATGACAGTGAGGCGGAATCAGAGGTGGAGCGTTTGTGGCGCTCTCTGTGCCACAGCAAGGACCCCTATGACCCCCGAAACTTCACTGCCCGCCTACACACGGGTGTCACTGCACCTCGTGCCATCCCTGTCTCCACGCCACCATCCTCTGCTCAGTCTTCCCCCTCCTCCTCTCCTCCCTCGAGCCCTGACACATGGGACGACTCGCCGTCTGCGAGCGAGGCTGATGAGGAGAGCCTCCGCCTGTGGAACTCCTTCAGCTCCTCCTCAGACCCCTTCAACCCACTCAACTTCCAGGCTCCCATCAGGACCCGTGAGTCTGCCACGGCGAGGGCCAGGAAGAACTCCGCCTACCGCCGCCTCCGCCAAGAGTCTCCACCCGAGTACAGGAAGGAGGAGGCAGAGGACCGGATGGACAGCGGTTTCTGTGACGCCTCCGCCCGGAACTGCAGCTCCACGAAAAAGGTGCGTTGGGAGACAGTGC